GCAGCTCTCGCTCTCTATTGGTTGTTTGCCCTTTGAAGCGATTGCATGGTCCACAATCTTATTGTTGACCAGGTCTTCTATTTTACTCTGTTGGTCTATTGGAATTTTGCCTGTCGGATTACCGGCATCGTAAACTGCATAGCAGAGATCGTCCCGGTGCCTACTTCTGGCAACTTTGGCGTAAGATGGCGGCTCTTTTCCTTTTCCTCCGTCTAGCTTCTCCTTCCTCGTTTTTCGGGGCTTCTTTTGAGATTCCCTTACCTTCGAGGTTGATTTCGCCGACGTCTTCGTCTTCGGAATATCTGGCTTGGCGTTGTCACCCTTACTCTCAGGATTCTGACTTGAGGTTCCTTTGAGTGAAGTATGGCTTGGCTTCGACTGTGTATTAGAAGACGGGGAGCTCTTTTTCTTCTTAGGTTTATTTTCAGTTGTCAACTCCTCGGGAGACCTGATCCTTTTTGCCTCAGATCTTGTGAGAGAGTCCGATTTTTCCTTTGGAGTGTCGTGGGATTGACTAACTATGATTTCCTGAAGCATCTTTTTCAACTTCCTCCTCTGTGCTCCAGAAAGTCTTTTCTTAGTAATAGGTAGTTTAGCTATGCTATCACTCACCTCTTTCACCATTTGCTCTACTTCATCCTTTTTGGGATTTGCTATAATGGTATTATTATTATTATCATCTGAGGATTCAGAGTCGGAACCCTCACCTATATTTAAAGGCTGAGGTAGCTTAGAGCTCTCTCCGAGTACATCCTTCTCTTTCACCCCTATATTTTTGCCAGCGGCATGCTGTACACTTGACGCATTGTCCGCCACAGAGGCCAAGGTACCCACCTCCGTAGTAGTATTTTGATCACGATTGCAGGATGACGACGACACGTGACTCGCGAGTAGATCAACAATTGCCGCCGGTACTGGGTTATTTAGGCCCTGCACCGTAACTTTTATCTTTTTATTTTTATTTTCCATATTTGTTTTTTCCAGTTTTTTTGGTCCGCGGGGAATATAATATTCCCAGGTGGTGGACAATCTGCCCTCCCTCAGCTTAAGTGAAATTAAAGCTGGGAGAGGACAGATGGTCCATCACCACCATTTTATATTTTTTTTTTTTAATTATTTAATTTTTGAGAAAACTTTGTTGTGCGATAAAAAAATCAGCTTGTCATCGCTGTGTTGCCAATTTTTGTTAAAAATATTAATTATTAATAATATTAAAGATTAATAAGAACGTCACCGTGATTTTCGGATTAGAGACTTAAATGTGGAATTGGGTCAATTATGGACAAAGTTCTCTATAATTTCAAGTATTTTTTTTAATTCTCCATAAATCTATCATAATGATAACTTTTGGAATGAAGTATTAGCTATAAACTGATTTTCTGTAAGAGGGTTATATTGGCGGACCGATCCTCAAAATTTTATTTTTCATAAATGTAGGTTTCGGTTCCTAAAAATGTTTTTTCTTCGACATCGACATTTGAAAGCCATTTATGTGCGTTTAAGTCATTTTCTGAAGAAGATTTCATATACATATTTACATTACATTTTTTCGTTCCAACAAAAATTGTTTTATTATGGTATTATTAAGTACGTAGAAAACGTTAAAATCAATTATTGAAGGGGGCAGGGTCAATTATGGCCTATAGAGATTTCGATTGATATCGAGCCCTTTTTGCAAAATGGACGTAAGAGAGATAAATTTTCGTTCAATTAGGATAGGGTAGAAGGGGGACCATACGCCACTTTTTTTTTTGAGGCGGCCTCAAATTAAAACCACAATACATATTCTTAATTTTTGTCTTGGTTCAGATACTTAGATATGTTGGCTTTAGTTTTATCCCTTTCAATCTTTCCTAAGTCATCCTCATTCACATATTTTTCTAACTTTTCCGCACTGACCAAAAACGGCGATACCGCCCCATCGATGGGGTAAATACGCCAAGGGAATGGGGCAGATTTGTCATTAGTAAAATAAGCCAAAAAAATTAAAAAATAAAAACTTATTTTGCTGTTTTATATTTTAATTCACTAAATAAAGTATAATAAACTAGATATTTATTGTTTATTTCACATAACTTAACAAAAAAATGAAACAAATTATTACAGATTTTTTTTCTATATTTTAACCAAATTTTGTTCTACATAACAAGCATTACATATATTTGGCGAATGTGCCCCACGGGCAGTTCTGGGGTTTAGTTTCAACTTTTTTCGGGCTTCAAATTATATTATCGAAAATATTATTATGTCTTATTATTCACTATTATTGACTTTCTGTCACTGACCAATATATTTTTTCTATCACAAAAACTAAAAAAGTTAGCTCAAAAATTCACACAGTGAAATATTTTCACAGCCCTTTGAAAAACAATTAATCACGTCTGCCTCCCATCATATGTAAAGTTAATCTTTCAAACTTTCAGGGATGATAGATAATCGATAAACGAAAACAAAATTTGATAATGCGATAAAATCGATTACTCGGTTTTCAAGTTATTCGCTTTGGCAGATGTGTCCCTATGGCGAATGATCCCCCTTCTACCCTACTGCGTGTTTAATTTTATGTTTATATATTCAATATTTTAGGAAATTCAAAAAGTACCAGTTAAAGAACGAAAAATTACCAGAAATACTCCAGTTTAAATTTTCATTCACTCAAGTCCCTGATTGCTTAGTTTTATGTTTTTAGGCACATTATAATAGAAAATTCAAATAGTACCAGTTGAAGAACGAAATAGCACCAAAAAGTCCCGTTTTATATGTTCTAACTTACTCCATGCCCTACAGGTTTAATTTCATGTCTATAGGTTCAATATTATAGAAAATTCAAAAAATACCTTTTGAAGAATGTTATCGCTGTACATTCCTAATTTCATGTTTCTAGGTTCAATATTATAAAAAATTCAAAAAGTACCAGTCGAAGAACGAAAAAGTACTAAAAAGCCCCTTTTTATAGATTATAATTTACTCCTCTACATATTTATTTTTATGTTTCTAGGTTTAATTTTATGGAAAATTCAAAAAGTACCAGTCGAAGTACGATAAAGTTCCCCTTTTATAGATTCTCATTTACTCCTGGCTCTAAGTGCTTAATTTCATGTTTCGAGGTTCAAATTTTGTAGCAAGCTCAAAAAGTTCCAGTCAAAGAACGAAAAAGTACCAAAAAGTGCAATTTTATAGATTCTCATTTACTCCGGGCTCTACGTGCATAATTTCATGATTCTATGTTCAATTTAAAATGTACCTTTTGAAGAACCAGGTTCTCACTTAATCGGGGCTCTACACGCTTTCATGTTTCTTATTATAGAAAATTCAAAAAGTTCCTTTTGAAGAACGAAAAAGTACCAAAAAGTCCATATTTATAGAATCTCAAGTGCTTAATTACATGTTTCAAAGTTCTAAGTCAAAAAAGTAACATTCGAAGTACCAATAAGTCCGATTTTATAGATTCTCATTTACTCCGGACTCTACTTGCTTAATTTCATGTTTCAAGGTTAAATTTTATAGAAAACCCAAAAAGTACCTTTGTAGAACCAAAAAGTTCCGAAAAGACCCTTAATTATTAATTTCATGTTTCGATTTCAATATCATAGAAAACTCAAAAAGTACCAGTTGAAGAATGAAAAAGTACCAAAAAATATCACTTAGTACCGGTGTTCCAAATAACACCCCATTAGCTAATTTAGTGTTTCTTGAATAAAATCAAATTTCCCGTTTTTACCCCTTTTGGTACTTTTTTCCTCCCCATTAACGAAATAAAAATTCTGTTCCAAAAAGTTGCAACATCGAGCCACGAGAAGATAACAAACTCTGGCTGGCAAACTTTTTTTACTCGATTATGGGAGAGAGGGAGAAAATTACTCTTTTGTGCAGAAAATGAGTATTATTTGCAGAAATTGAGTTTTTTGTGCAGAAAATGAGTATTTTCTTTTCTTTGCAGACTGAATGTGCAGTGCTGCCAAATTCTTATATATTTAAATGCACTCATCAAGGATGGGAAGTGAATTAAATGAAAACAATTTCAAACAACAATATACGAAATTATTTTTGATATATTATAAAATAATTTATTAAAGGTATTTTAATTTTTTTGTTTTGGAATACGGTCGGTATTTATAAACTTTTTAAAACCATTCAAAACTTTTTATTTCTAAACGTATATCTACAAATTTAACAAAAATATTTAAATTTCTAGTACCCATATTTTCCAATTTATTTTAATGTTAAATTTCAATTGTTCCTCCAAAATTTTCAATTGAATTTTCCAATTTTCATAAATTTTTAATTTATTTCAATTTTAAATTAAAATTGTACTTTAGAAATATCTAATTTTATATCAAAATTTACTAATTGCATTTTAAAATTTTAACTAGAATTTCTAAAATGTATATAAATTCTAAATATATAAAAAATATTAATCTAAAATACAAATAGAAATTTCCGCAATACAAAAGGAAACTTCTAAAATACTTTTGAAAATTTTGGAATGTAAATATAAAATTCTCAAATGCAATAATTGTTTTTTTTATAAAAATGTCTAAAAATATAGAAATATTTGAAATACAATTTGACTACAACGTTATAACAAAAAATCTACTTTTTAATTAAAAAACTAATATGCCCTATACACTAAGTAAAAGCTAGTAGTTTTTGGCTTTATTGAGTTTTTGTTTGAAAAACTACTAAAATTTATTTAGTTTTCCCATACAAATTCAAAATTTTGTCGAAAACTAATATGTAAAAGAAAACGTCTAAAAGTGAAAAACTACTTTTTGAATTTTTCATATTTTAACATTTTATATTTATAAATTTCATTTATTTCATATAAATAAATTAATAAAGAGTTTTAAAAGATTTTTACAACTCAATGTCTATCTTTTATTTTGGTGTGAATACAGTATAAAGAAAATGCGAATAATTTGAAAAAGTCGACTTTTTAGATTCAAACCAAGATAATTTAGGAAAAGCTTATCCAACCCTGTACTTAGCAAATGGCAACTTTTTAGTACAAAAAAATGTCAACTTGGCACAACTACTGATCCTACCGATGAATTTACTTTAAGATTTTTTTATTGTAATTATTAAAAGAACGTGTTTGTTTCTTTTAGCTAATAGCTTGCTATTCCACCAGTGGTAAATCAGCTAACGGTAAAATCAATGAAAGTGCCGCTGATGCAGTGCACGATTTACACGATAGTGCCTTTGAAGTCTCGCCAATTGGGTAAGATGATTTTCTCGTATGTAGGTGAAAGTGCTGAATTGGTCAACCAATATTTATCCCGTGAATTGGCTGTAGAATTGACACCACAAGGTACATTAGCTGAAAAAATTAGAGCCGCTGTTGCTGGTGTACCCGCCTTCTTTACACCCACCGGTTATGGTACTCTTATCCAAACAGGTGGAGCTCCAATTAAATACAGCAAAGATGGTAAAGTTGAAATTGCTAGCAAACCAAAACCAGTACAATAATTTAATGGCAGAAACTATGTCATGGAGGAGGCTATGTTTGCTGATTTTGCTATTGTCAAGGCTCAAAAGGCTGATCCCTATGGCAATTTGGGTGAGTTTTATATAAAAGAGGAAATATTGAATTATTCTTTATTTTAAATTATTAATTATTACGGTTTTCAATAAGGCTGCCCGTAACTTCAATGCCGCTATGTGCCGTGCTGCTAAAGTCACCATTGTTGAGGTCGAAGAAATTGTGCCCATAGGTGCTATTGATCCCCATGAAATCCATATTCCTCGCATCTATGTTAAGCGTATCTTCAAGGGTACCAACTATGAGAAACGTATCGAAAAGGTACGCATTACTGAGACTGACTCTACCAAGAAATCGGCTCCCACACCAGCCCAGGCCGTACGTGAACGTATTGCTAAACGCGTTGCCATGGAGTTCCGTGATGGTATGTATGCCAATTTGGGTATTGGTATGCCCGTACTCGCCTCCAACTACATCCCTAAGGGCATGAATGTTATGTTGCAATCGGAAAATGGTATTTTGGGTTTGGGTACCTTCCCCACTAAGGATAAAGTTGATCCTGATTTGATTAATGCTGGTAAGGAAACTGTTACCGTCGTACCTGGTGCTTCTTTCTTTGGTTCCGATGACAGTTTTGCCATGATCCGTGGTGGTCATATGGATTTGACTGTTTTGGGTGCTATGCAAGTGTTGGCTACTAGTGTTTTCAGGCTGTTTTCCAAGTTGAAAAGGGTGCTGGTCTTACTCTTCTTGAAATCGCTGAGGGTCTTACCGTTGATGATATTACCGCCTGCACTGGAGCTAAATTCATTGTTTCTCCCAATGTTAAGAAAATGTATCAAATTGATGCTTAAGAAAATGTCTCAAATTGATGTATAATTTGTTGCGTACATTTGTTTTCTTAGCCAGAAAATGGACTGGTTCTATTTGCTGTTATACCTCAATCTCCTCCCCTTCGTTAATATTAAGTTAAATACAAAATGAAATATAATTTCTTCTTAAATTTATATTAAGTCGTACTAAGATGTGAATTGCATTAATATTTCTTAATCTACAATGTAAAGTTAAATTTAAGCGTGATTAAAGATTGCATTTATTTTAATATTAAAAAATTGACAAAAAAAAAAACATAATAATGAAGTAATCTGAAATTCAATTGTAAAGTTGTGCAATAATTAGACTATGAATTCATTAAGGAAAGGATAAACTACAACCACTACAAATATTTTTTTGAAATAGTACTTATAACAAAAAAAGTACTTTTTAGGTTTTAAAGTACTTAACTAATTTTCCGCTAGAATATAGTCTAGTCTATAGACTAGACTATAGACTAGACTATAGACTAGACTATGGACTAGACTATAGACTAGACTATAGACTAGACCATGGACTAGAGTATAGACTAAACTATGGACTAGACTATAGACTACACTTTAGATTAGACTATAGACTAAACTATAGATTAGACTATACAACTATAGACTAGACTATAGACTACACTATTGATTAGACTATATACTAGACTATAGAATAGATTATAGACTAGCCTAGACTATAGACTACACTATAGATTAGACTATAGACTACACTATAGATTAGACTATATACTAGACTATAGACTAGATTTTAGACTATAGTCTAGTCTATAGATTAGGCTATAGACTAGACTATGGACTAGACTATAGACTAGACTATGGACTAGACTATAGACTAAACTATGGACTAGACTATAGACTACACTTTAGATTAGACTGTAGACTAAACTATAGATTAGACTATACAACTATAGACTAGACTATAGACTACACTATAGATTAGACTATATACTAGACTATAGACTAGATTATAGACTAGCCTAGACTATAGACTACACTATAGATTAGACTATATACTAGACTATAGACTAGATTATAGACTAGCCTAGACTATAGACTACACTATAGATTAGACTATACTAGACTATAGACTAGACTATAGATTAGACAATAGACTAGATTATAGACTAGACTATAGATTAGACTATAGACTAGACTATGGACTAGACTATAGACTAGACTATGGACTAGACTATAGACTAAACTATGGACTAGACTATAGACTACACTTTAGATTAGACTATAGACTAAACTATAGATTAGACTATACAACTATAGACTAGACTATAGACTACACTATAGATTAGACTATATACTAGACTATAGACTAGATTATAGACTAGCCTAGACTATAGACTACACTATAGATTAGACTATATTCTAGACTATAGACTAGACTATAGATTAGACAATAGACTAGATTATAGACTAGACTATAGATTAGACTATAGACTAGACTATGGACTAGACTATAGACTAGACTATGGACTAGACTATAGACTAAACTATGGACTAGACTATAGACTACACTTTAGATTAGACTATAGACTAAACTATAGATTAGACTATACAACTATAGACTAGACTATAGACTACACTATAGATTAGACTATATACGTTCCCTTACTCGTCTGTATTGCCATTTTTGTCTCATCACGGTTATTGGAGAAGTCCCTTCGGATGCACGCGGTGGCTGAGGTTTAAATCCAAAATCGTGTTGATAAAAAGACTGATGAACGGTGAAATCTATATTTCTGGATAAGTTCACTGCTGTTGCCGGAAAGACAACAGATACATAATTCGAAGTGCTTTACGTGAACACCTGCCGTGTTGGCCTTATTTCACGGTGGTACTTTTACAACCACAATGTGAGCTTATTAGACGACACGCCATTATTATAGCAATAGCAAAACAAAATGAACAACAACAACGCTAAACGAAATAAACACTCAAAAAACAAAATACACAAGGCAGTAAAACCAACAGACATCCAAACATACGAAACGAAATACACAAAAAAACAAGAACAAAATACACAAGAACAAAATACATAAGTATTCGAATTTAGGTAAACTATGAAAAGAAACCAAATTGAATAATATATTTTGTGTGAAAAATAAATAAATTAATTTGTTATATTGTCTAGATAGTCCTTAGTTTTGATATCACGCCCCTTAAAACTTGAAAACTTTACATTTACTTAAATTAGTTGTGCTTTTTTTAAAAAAGTCCATGAAACTACTTCACAAAAGTATGCGAATTTTTCCTGTATTTCATATTTGATCATATTATACGATACACAAATTCTAGAATCGCATGGTTTTATGCTTAATATTGTTTTAAGGGGTAACTATCAACCGCATGGATATATTTTTGACCCATTTGGTCCACAATTTTGGGGGATTTGTACCCTCTTTTCATGTAATATCATTAAAATGGCAATTTTTGGCTATATTTGTAATGTTTTCACCCTTTTTCCAGAGATAAAACCAAAATTTAATATTGGAATTTAATAGAACCCATAGGGTATCTAAAAATAATATTTTTTGTTATAAGGATCTGTACTTAAACGTTCCAAGATGAATTTTTGGTATCGTTTTTCAGTTTCTAATTGAATTATCTGGATCATAAGTCCCTTTTCGTACCTCTAGGGACGATATTTTCCGACAAAGTTGTCTAGTGTATATTCATGTACATATTGGCACTAATATATTTTAAATTTTCAATATATTATAGCGGTATACAACCCCAAAACATGCCTTAACAAAACGTCATCCTATATAGTAGATTTCAGTTTTTACTACTCGTAACTTTCACACTTATGTTGCCCGTTACAATAACACTGTAAGTCCAAAATTTTGGTTTTAATTTGATCATAATAAATACTATTTAAACACATATCAACATTTTTGAGTTAGATCATAATGATATCGTGCCGTGCAGCATGGAGGCCATTGGTATATAAAAATAATGATTTTACTATTTTGAATGGTGTTTCTTCGAGGCATGTTTTGGAGTTGTACACTTCCACAACACATTGAAAACTTAAAATGTATAAAAGCTGATATCTAAAAGAATATATACCAGAAAACTTTTCCCGAAAATAGTTGATCCTAGTATTATAAAAATGGACTTAAGTTCCAATATATTGAATTAGCGACAGAAGAATGATCCGAATAATTTATCTTGGAACGTTTAAATACAGATTCTTGTAACAAAAAATATTATTTTTAGATACCCCAAGGGGTCTTTTAAGTCCCAATATCAAATTTTTGTTTTATCTCTGGAAATAAGGAGAAAAATTTACAATTATGGCCAAAAATCGCCATTTTAATGATATTACTTGAAGAAAGGTACAAATTCCCCAAAATTGTGGTCCAAATGGGCCAAAAATATATCCTTTCCGTGGATAGTAACCCCTTAAAACAATATTACGCATAAAAACCATTCGATTCTAAAATTTGTGTTGCGTATAATATGATCAAATATGAAATACAGGAAAAATTTGTATACTTTTGAGAGGCAATTTCATGGACTTTTTTAAAAAATCCACAATTAATTTAAGTCAATGCAAATTTTTCAAGTTTTAAAAAGCGTGATATCAAACATAAGGACTATCTAGACAATATAACAAATTAATTTATTTATTTTGCACACAAAATATATTATTAAATTTGGTTTCTTTTTATAGTTTACCCAAATTCGAATAATTATGAGAGACACTGTATGTAGGTATATAAATACAAACACTTTTTTTCGGTAATACTTGGAAATAATAGTATTGTATTTATGTATACAAATCAGGATCAAAATAAATAACAATGAATGGTTGAAAGAAAACGTTATTAAAAGTTCTTTTTAAATGTTCAGTTTTATCTTTTGTAATTATTTTTATAATTTCATTGTAATTAAACTTGTTTTTACTTAATTTACTTGAAAATTAATTATTAAATAAATCAAAAAAGTAAGGACAGTAAATTTTATATAAAATTTAGAAAATATTTAAAACTATAAATGAAAAAAAAACACAATCTTCATAAAAAAATTACTATAAATTCCATTCACGTCTTTGCCACAAACCATCCTCGGTGACTTCGTCACTTCCTTTAATGGTCGCTTCGCACAAATTAACCACGGCCACTACATTATCACTGACCACTTTACATTGCAGCGAAATTGGTATCGCCCACATAAATTTGCTACACTAAAGTGGTCATGAATCACACAACGATTCATTAACGGCGATTTCTTCGGCAGGTGTGGAAATCGAATTTTGACATTCCTTGGCATTGTAAGCAGCGGCTCGACAATGTTTAGCAATTAATAGCTTTGTTCCAGAACTTTTCTGGCTAAAGAGAATTAATGAATTTTCTTTTCGTACTTATAAAAAGTACGGGAACAGAAAAAACTAAATTTCTCTTTCAATAAATTTGTATTGAAGTTTATTCATAAAAATTTCTATTGAAATTAAATAAAATTGAAAAACTACAATCACACATACTTATTTATGAAAATAAATCAAAAATATCAAACATTTTTTATTTTCAATGTATTTTTTTAAACAAATAATTTATTTGACAATTTTTTTTCTATTTGCCAGGAAAAAATTTTCTGGCTAAAACCTGCAAGTTCTGGCAAAGAGAAAATAATTTTAATTGCTCAAATTTGTTCTCTTTTACAATTTCTGGTAAAAACCTGCAAACTTGACAAGTAAAGGAACAAAGCTAATATTGAATGGAAGTGAACAACAAAAGAGGCGATTAAGCGCAGCAGCAAAAAACATGACAAAATAACACAATTGAGCCTCTACAGAAATTGCTACGTAATGTAAACTGTTCGTTAAACGTTCTTTGAAACTCGTAAACTCTTCGAGTTAAGAAAATGTATAGAAACGATAGGTCAGCATTACATATTCCAAACGCTCCTTATAGCTGTAGGAAAAAAATTTCACTATTTACCCCTATAAGAAATGAATGACCGAAACTAACACATACAAAATGATTTTACTAACACACACGCAACATTTTTTTTATAGAATTGTGGAAAAAAAATTTAATGGATGATTCCATCAACAATGACAGTCAAATGACCGGTAAAATGACCGTTACTGGACCCAATGTGTGGTATAGGGTTGAATTTGCATATGAAAGAATGAAACAACTACATTTTGATTAAAATGTATTAAAATTTATATTTTGATCAACAATGACAGCGAAATGACCAATCAAATGACTGTC